TTTTTTCTTTATTTTTTCTTTTTTCTTTTTGTTTTTTCCTTCTTTTCTCTCTGTGTCTCCTATTATTCTTCATTCCTGATTATTCTAACTTTCCGTGTATTATCATTTATTTATTTGTTTACAGGTTTATGCGGTTTCTTTAGCTATTCGTTATTTATTTTAGGCAGGTTTGAGGAAAATGTTTTTGAGCAAATTCTCTACAATAAATTTAGTTTCTAGAAGCCGGAGAAAGCATTGCTTTGTAATGTAAATATGTAGTTGGCTTTCAAAGAAACTGTTATCCTAACTATCCTGTTATCCTGTTATTGCGGAACAACGACCATTAACCCAAACGTCTTCAAGCATGACTATTCTTGGCCAACATTTCAAATATCTTTCCATGCAGTTGCATTGAAGACACTCGAATTTAACCCGGTGAACACTTCGAGTTTTTTGTCACTTCTTTTGTTGAAAATGCATCATTGTAAATCATCCATTGAGCCAATCGATTGGAAAAAGTTTTATTTTGATCACTCGGTGTATTTCAACTCAGTGCTTAATTTTAGAGGTTTTGAAACAGAAAGTTCAGGAAATCAGTAATCTTGAATCTCTAAAAATTTCGAAGTGTTCATGATTCGAGTGTCCACATTAAAACGATCTGAACAGAACGAAAACTAGCATCGGTTCGTAAACAAACAAATTAGTTCAGGGCAGTCTACGGGGTTTGTCTTATTAGTTAAAGACAATTATGTATTACCTCATAGAAAGTAAGCTTACATTTGAACAAAGAAACCCTAGGAGTTACTCTTGGTTGATTAACGATAGCTATAATGCTGGTCTAAGCGATCAACATGGGACTTACACGTGGTCACGTGGCCCTAACAATTAAGGACAGCACAGCACGGGAAAATACAGTGAGTTAAGAAGAAAGAACCTGGCGTTATTATCAGGTGTTTCGCTATCAATCTTTTCTTAGTTATGATCTTTCGCGCGTGTTCCAAAACCATCCAGAGAATTAGGCTATCCTTTGTGATCCATTACGACACTTATGACTCATTTATGATTCACTGATTTTGGATTTCTCTCCGCTCTCTCTCTCTCTTGACCATCTGTAAAATATCGGCAGACGTATAATATTATTTTGGCAACAGAAGACACACACGTTCACTTGAAGATCATATCCACACAAACATTCAAACCGGCTTTTTTTAGTTCAAATTGAGCTTTACACCAATTTTTACACTACTAGACTCAGTGCCAATAATAACAGTTCTATTACAGGAACATCATATTTTTGGCACTTCCAACTTTCCTCTAATATTAATTTCACATTCTGACACGAAACGCAAAAATATCAATATTCACGTTACCGCATTATTCAACAATTCATTTACAATTTGCAATTGTTTTGTTTAACTCCAGGTGTTCGAGGGTTTTTTTCGAGTACTTCGGATTTCCTCCCTCCACAAAGCTAACCAGTGAATTCTAAATTACGGTCAGCGCCGTACCCTTGACATTTCAGGTCAACTCCGAGCCGTTATTATTTCCAGCATTTCACTGATGCCGAATTATAGTTTCCATATATAAATTACTTGTCAATGGCAAAGTTTGCTCACATAAGACTGTTTATGAGTTCAAATCAACGCCTTATTCAGTAATTATCTACAATTAATCATTTGGGAAAAGCAATTTATACCTGTCATTAAAAAAAAAAAGGTTTTACATCTCTCCACCCTATTTTTTTTGTTTTTACAATTTGCGACGTGCGATATATTTCCGTTTAGGATTTTAATTTAAGGTGTAAGTTGTTGTCGTTAACATCTGTGGATATTTTTATTCCCAAAACATATGTTTATAGTTTAGGACTTGACTGAATGTTTAAGTTGGGGGATGAAAGTAAAATAATGAATAATGAATAGCGGTTTAGAAATATACGTAACTTTGGATTCGCGGGCTCGGTGTTGCTTTTAAGTAGATATTTTCTCCGGTTTCTTCATATTGGAATCCAGTGGAAGAAGAGCCACTCTGTGGATCCCCTGTTAATTTTCATTTATTTTATTTATATTTATTATTATTATTATTATTATTATTATTATTATTATTATTATTATNTTATTATTATTATTATTATTATTATTATTATTATTATTATTATTATTATTATTTCAATGTGTAACAAACTTGCCATTTGCTGCAAACCGAAAGAGAGTTTTTTAATTACACTTGTTCGACTTGTATGTTTGCTTTTTATCAGATATCATTGTTAAGGATCCACGTTGTCAGGTTCTAGGACTAGACAGCAGATGGCTCACAAAGGCTTTAATCTCCTGATGTTTACGATTTGAAAGCGTTGTTCTAGAAAATCACGGAACGAACAATTTAGACTTCAATTTAAACTTGGTCAATGTTTTGCCATTTTTTGTAAGAAGAAACAGAAAGAGTGAACGTATCAGTTTTAATCGATATTGTATTGGATCTCAATTATCCTGTTTTGCTGGAAGGCGATCGCGAATTTCCTCAGCTCTTCTGAATCAGTCTTTTTGTCCAAAAAATGTAATTTAGATAAGATAGACAAAAGATAGAAAGAGAAAGAAGAAAAGAAATCAAAAGACTTCAATTAGACTTTAATTTAAAGTGTGTGTGTGTGTGTGGTTTTTTTTTACGAGACAGAAAGCTAGTTAACATATCGGTTTTAGTCCCACCTATTGGATTGGGTTTCAGTTATCGCTGGAGGTGAATTTCTTGAACTCTTAATGTAATTTAGATAAAATAGACAAAAGATAGAAGAAAAGAGATCGAGAGACAAATTAAAAACCGTGTCCTGCGAATTTCAAAGACTTCAGTTCAAATCATTAACAGAATCAACACGTACAACAATTCATAACTTACCATAGACGCTTGCTGGGCGATATGATCTGGTGAGCACGGGAGGCCTATGAAAGCGATGCTAATGCGCTGTCACCTCCCGAGCTCGGTGTACACATTGCCTGTTGGTTCTCTTCTGTGTTCTCCGGGTTCTCCGGTTTTCCTCCCTCCTTAAAAATTAACTACTATAAAATTCCAATTTGATCTTTGGGCTTCGACCTAGCATAGTTCTTACTAAGTCACCGTTTGTGACTGTTACGCGCTGTGATATCATAGCCAAAGCTGGTAGATTAACATGCTCGATATGTAAAAAACAGTCTTACCATTTATTTCAGTTTCAAGTTACTATAAATTTTTGAACCGATAATCGATTGTTTTCAAAGAATTTTTTACACGGTGGTAGACGATGCTGCTCAAAGTACTCAGCGCTCAGTATTGATAAAAGGGTAAATCTTACACCGTTAAAAAAATGAAAAAACTCAGTTTTGCATGTATGTATAAATATGTACATACAGTCGCTTATGGCTTGCCAATATTATGGCTATACACTCAATAGTGATATATATATTTTTAAAGGGCCCGGCCATAGATTTGGACAGGAATTTTTTTTGGACAGGCAAAACGTTTTGACGTTTGTTTTTTTTTCTTTTTTTTTTTTTTTTTTTTTTTAATGAAACAGTAATGATAAAAAGGTAAATTATACA